TCAATTCTCTGCTTTTCTGTTTGCTCTGGAAAAGCACTTCAATAAAAAGCACTTCAATAAAAAAAGCACTTCAATAAAAAGCACTTCAATAAAAGCACTTCAATAAAAAAAGCACTTCAATAAAAAGCACTTCAATAAAAAAAGCACTTCAATAAAAACTTCCTGCAGGTGGGAAGGGGCTGCACATGGTGTGGTCACTGTGAGCAGCAGTGCAAGGAGTGCAGATGGAATGTTCCAGCAGGAAAATCAGGGAATAAAGGGCAGTTTGACACTGCTTTGTTTGCCAGGATTTGGGAATTTCCAGCAGGAAAATCAGGGAATGGGGAATAAAGGGCAGTTTGACACTGCTTGGTTTGCCAGGATTTGGGAATCCAGGGCTGAGGCTGTGGCAGCTTCCCAAGGTGCAGCTGGAATCTGTTCATTCCCAAACTAATTCCTTCTCTTTTTTTACAGCACAACTACAGGAACACAGCACTGGGGGCTCTCAAAAGCTTCTTCACTGTCAATTTTGGAGACAGAAAACATCCAGGCTCATCCTCTAGCTGAGTAGGATTAAAGGATCTAAATCAGCTGGAGTGAAAAGAGCTGAAAACTTCCATTAAAACAAAACACAGGAGTGCACAGCACTGGAATTGGGAGGGTTTAAGTTGCCTTACAGCATCTGTTTCTCACATCAGTGCTTCAGCAGGGAGGAGCTGAGCAGAAAATCTCCTTTAATGAGCACTGGAGAAATCCCAAGTGCTGCTGAGAGCTTTGGGTCTCTCCTGCTTTAATCAGGGGGCTTGTTTCACTTAAAAGGGTCAGGAAGGGTAAAAATCACACAGCCACAATCCAACCCTGAATTATTGATGCACACATTGCACCCTTTTGGCCATGACCTCTTCCAGACATCTCTATTTCAGTCACTTATGTGCAAAAAGTGGCAAAATTCAAGTAGAAAGCCAACTCAATTCTGTTGTTTACCACACCATCATCTGTGTTTTACCTTTCCTGGGACAATCATTAATATTACAGACTGAAATATTCTTGGTTTTTTGTAGAGGGTGATGACAAGCAGCATCCTGCATACAGAGCCCTGAACAACCAGGTTAGGCCAAAAACATTGGGGATTTTTTTTTTCTAACTACAAAATGACAAGAAAAAACAAAAAAAAAAAGAAAAAAAAACTGCCAAAAGAATTATAGGACTGCTAAGAAAATATTGAATTACCAGCACTCGTCCTCCAAAGATGTAACCTTTGTTTCCCAGCACAGCACATGTGTGAGCTGCTCGAGGCTGAGGTGGATCTCCACCCTGAAAAAACCAAAATAATCCTTAAAACACCACAAAACCACAAAATCAGCACTTTTATTTGCTGATCTAGAAACCATCAGGAAAAACCTCTGGAAATCACATCTTAAAATTTGATGTTATAGCCACGAGCCAAAAAATTCTCCCTGTGTAAATCAGAATGGAAAGTGGCAAAACTGGCTTTTCCTTTGCAATGGGAATTTCACATTTTGCATTTGGTTTTAGAGGGATTTTAGAACATCTTAAAAGATCCTTAAAAAGCTGCCAGACACTCTTTAAAAGATACAACTTCTGCTGAGTTCTTGCATAAACTCAGCTGGGTTTTATGAATTTTAGGGAATCTTTTCAGCTCCTGGCAGGGCCTGGAGGGGCTGGGGACAAGGATGGAGGGACAGGATTTAAAACTCAGTAAAATCCAAATTGAGATCAAAAACCACTCACTCGAATTGTTGGCTGAGACCAAGTCTGTGTGGTTGTGTCAAAAACATGAACATCATTGTGCCATCCCCAGAATATCTGTCCTTCCTNTTCTGCAGCTCTCCCTCCTGGATTTCCAGCCAAAGCTATCCCAGCTTTGCCAAGATGGGAAAGCAGCTCCATGGATGCTGAGCTTTGCTGACAGCAAACACAAACACGCTGACATTCAGGCACCAGATGTGTGAAGAGCTGCTGCAAAGATTTTGGTTTATTTACCTCATTCTCAACGTGAAACTTTTCCACTTAAATGAAACATCAGACTCACATCAACCTCTGGACTAACTCTCCTTCCTTCCCACTTTTCTCCCATTTCTGTTTTTCCAGGGGCTTACCTGAAGGAACTGAGTCCACATAACACTTCTGAGCCTGTTTGCAAATGATTCCTGGTACAACTGATTCCCATCATCATCATCACCATCATCATCATCATCTTCTTTTACCAGTTCTAGCTCCAAGTTTGGGAAAAGGTGCCCTTTCCTCCCAGAAAGATGAAGAGGAGAAGCCTCATGACACTTCCTGGCCCTTTCTGGTTCCTTGCAGAGCCTTTTCCCTGGGAAGATTTGTATTATGGTGAACCAGAAGGAGAAGGAGCAGCAGAGCAACCCCGTGTTTGCTCCTCAATTTCTGGAGAAAAGCAAAACTTCATCTTTTGGGGAGGAATTATTGCTGGGGTCAGGAAATTGAGGGGTTTCCTGCTGTCTTTAGCTTTTTCTTTGCATGACTTACATGAATTCCTCAAGCCCCACTGAAATGTTCCCTCACCTTTTTTTTTATGTTTCCTTCCATTTATTTCTAGGACAGAAAATGGATCAATAATGAGAATTACACTTGCTGCTCTCCTACAGAATTAAACACATCTTTCCATCATTTCACTCTTCTCTGACACGGCTCCCCAAGTGCTTTCACTGAAATTTAGCAAGATTTTAATGAAGCTGAATTAAAAAAAAAATAAAAAAAAACCTTTGAAGATCAGAATGCTGCAGTGCAACAGAACCCTGTGAGGGCAGGGCAGAATGAGAGGTGAGCTGCAGATAAAGGAGAATTGCAGTGGCCAGGGCAGCACAAGGCACCTTTGCAGCCCCAATTTTGGGGTT